GGTTTACACTAAAAAAACCGTATCATTCTTTGAGAAGAGCTTGTTTTGTATTATAGGCAGGAAGAGAAATATCACATCAGAACACACAAAATGCCAGCTCTGTCATCCAGATGCTTTTGAATTTCGATTTCCTCGTCGTATGTCAGAACTTGGCGCGTCACCGTAACCTACCATTTAAGTCCAAAACGGTTAATTGACCAGAATTGGCCAATCTGCTTACAAACCGTATCTGTTTTCTCTTCGATGAAAGGCCCGGCTACTTATTATTCAGTCATCACCTTGAGCAGCTTGCACCAGCAAAACGTCTCTGGTTTGTGGTGTTGGATGAATTCACAGTTTTTCAGCGCTTTTCCTGTGGCATTGGCTACCGTACCTCAGGAGGAAATGTTATTCTCCTAAAGCAGATTTGCCTCTACCTTGTTCCTTTAAGTTGCATGATGGCCTCCTGACCGAGTCTGTCACATTTCGGCTCCTACGTGAGAAGTTCATGAGCTGGAATGAATGGTGCATGTTGAATGAATTTTTCTAACATGACCATCTTTCTTTTTTTAATCTGTGCATCTGTCGGTGTCACCTGTGTCCGGAACAGAACAGAGCCATTTTTACGTGGTCCTTTCATTCAAACCTCATTAACTTTTTTCTTAGCCGTAACGTGGGATAGGTTTCTGTAAGGCTATCCTCCTGCTTAACTCTGGTTAGACAATGCCATCGCTGGAGACGATGCAGTCAAGATACTTAAGCTGGACAACGCCCTGGAAGGCTTCATCCCCTCGTTTCACATCTACATCAGCTGTGCTAAAACAGTTCCTCAGAAATTTTTACTTCGAAGCAATATGGATTTAAGGAGGAAGCCGGCTTTCACAGCGGTGTTATATGCTGTGAATAGCTATCAACTGTCAGGAGTCCCCTTCCTGTACAACTCATTATGACAATATTTTCTGTGCACTCAAGTTAGCAAGATATCCAGCTGGATATCCTGAACCGCGCTTTCCCTGGAATGAAACCTTCGTCTTTGACAAAGTCACCATTAATTCAGAGAAGGAAGCCGAGAGCATTGTTGAATAGCAAAGATACCAGTGTACCTCTTGAAGAACTCTTCCGTTGATCGATAACCCATTCAGATGGCACTTCTTCACCTTTGATAGCTGACATGGTTGGTGCATATATCTCTTCCAAAATCGAAAAGATCAGCTCAGGTATCCCATAGCAAATTATGTATAGACGAGGCAGGGTCGGAAATTCGCAAGTAGATATTTCTAAACAAGACATGGCTGCTTGAAAAGTTCATAGTATTTCAATTTACTTAACAGCAGACATGACCTATTTTAAGTATCATGCCATGTGGAGAGTTCACTGTGGAAAGAAGACAGCGTTTAATCGATCGAGTCAACATCCATGAGGACTTAAATCTCGACAAGAGGCGAGATAAAGTGTAGTGTTACGGTATATAGTAAGGAACAAAAATGGGGGGGTGTTGTCATATGCCGGACTACATTACGTTTAATTCCACTGACCACCGACTTTTGCCCGGTATTGCTGCACTCACTGTTCCTAGTTGCCTAGGAGGGCATTTGTTGCCAGTGTAATAAAATGTCATGCGAAAAGGCCGCTTGTCCCATTTATGGGCTGTGATGTGCCTTGGCGCCCGAAAACGCGTGCCCCCCAGCATATCGAACAAATCGATTGCGGAGGGAAAATGAAGTTCGGATGGTTTTTCCTCCAAATTAGCTTTTTAGAGTGCCAAAGCCGACGCTTCTTTTTCATTATCCGACGACACGTTCAAATACCGTATTTACGGCCGAAGCTAATCTGGGGCTGGTGCCACGCCAGTGCCGACGTTCTGTCTCAGAACCGTGAGATTGATGAGGGTAGGCGCAACAGGAAGAAAATCGATGCCATTCGGCGAACACGTCATAAGCGTAGTTTATCACTTTCTCGCATACGAGTTCACTAACGGAAATGTCACCGGAAATAACGTCCACTTGTGCAGCTCCGAAGGCGCGTTGTCTTTTACCCCCCCTTGCTTTCAACGAAAACCAAACTGCAGTTCTTCAGCGCTGATCTTTTGCGAAGGTACTTGTTGTACGCCAGAAAGACCGTTGTTTTTGCGAAGGAGCCAGAACAACGGTTGAACTGTACAGGCAGCGTTGGTTTCGACGCAAAATCAGGTTTAAATGACAGAACCATGTAAAGAAAGACTCTATTCTATTCTGAGGACAGATTATCTCAGCAGATGTAGAGATTAAGAAATGAGTTAACCCTGTTGGACAAACTCACTGGGCATACAGAGCTTATTCAAGTCCGTTAGCTGCTCGTGTTGGAACCCAAACACGGCAATCCTCCACCAGGAGGTCAGCATGGAGCACGAAGAAGCAAGGCAGAGGCGGATCTGCTTTCGGAGAGGAATATTTCCTCCTCGGATGCAATAACAGGCCTTGTAGCAAAAGGGTTGACAAACCGCGAATACGGTAGTCATCACCATCCACCGACGTTCTGCTTATGCGAACGGCTAAACATGATAATCTCAAGTAGCTAGTTCGGTATATATAACTTAAGGAACGACTACCGGCGCTGCTTGGTTGACTGATGGTGCACCTGTATAAATCCTGATGTCAATGAGACAAGCAACGGGATTGGTGAACATTGGAAGTATGTCGAGAAGGACTGTGGTCAAAATTAATAGGTTGATAGATGTATCTAATAAATTCTGATGAAACAGCTGCTGATTCGTGGTTCGAGACTCCAAAACAAAGAGGATAGAAATCGAATCACACCTTATGTAGGTTATCACACTGGAGAGTCAGCTATCAAGATGGCAAAGGCAAGGTGCAGTCACGAGGAAAGCTGGCCTTAAACAGAATAGCTGAATAACTAGTCCATTCTAGCATGGCCATACAAGAATACCATCAGCGTCATAATCAGCCTTTTCAGCTCACTACTGAATGAAGACCTCTTGAAGACTTCGTCATAGATCTCTGTACCAGAATACCATGCCATTCTTGTTATTCGCCACTCACCGATGCACCGTTCTTCGGCTGGTTGCTCTGAGTCAACGTGAGGTTAATCACGTGCTCTTAATGGTAGCACTTTATTGCCAAAGCATTTCGTTTCGCACGCCGTAGCGTCGTCGAAAACAATTGATATGACAAGCAACAGGCTGCCTCATACATACGAAAATGCGTCGATTTAAAATGAGGGCAGACTGACGTCAGATTTTTAAACAGTATCTTCGCAACTTTAAATCTTAAGGTTTAATTATAACTATTTCTAGTTAATTCCATACTTGCTTAACTTGCTTATCCTAGCAGCCCAGCCTTCACTTATCATAACGGCGGATGAGTATTCATTTGTTCATTGTACGTTCGACGTTACATGCACAAGATAAAGTGGTGATGAAGGGCAGAAAAGTGTCAACATCTGCTTGACTTGATGTTCTCAACCATGAATTGGCAAACCATGTACAATTTCACAGAATGAATCGAAATGTGGTGTCATATTTATGGAACAACTATTCGACACAACGTTACTAACAAACAAAAGTGAAGCATGACTGAAATGGACCTCACCTGTATCTGCCTGTACCATCCTCGTTTGCAGGCAAAGTCAGCCACACACTCAGTAATTTCCTGTACGTACAGAGATGTTCAAACGTACACCGACACCTCATTTAATTTCTGAGTTAGTTGCACTAGGAGCATCACGGAGGCTGGTAAGGCTATGGATGGGTCACTATCATGAAGTGGATGCAATGTCCGGTGCATTA